TCAGCTATGCCACAGAGTGATTTCTGGGGCCCCTGCCCATGAAGAAACAGATCAAAAAGGAGTTCATGCCTGGCAGAGTGAAGCTTTCACCATAGCAACACATGTTTTTCTACAAACAGTCAGGACTAAGGCGCTCTGTTGTGACCAGCCTGGACAGTGCCTCTGAGAAATGCACGACTGAGGCTTCAGACAACAGGGCAAGCAAGAGAAAAGTGCCACCTATTTAGCTTGCAGGGCAGTCTTCTTATGGTTTTTGCTTCTCCACAAAGCTGACAGTAGCAGCACCAAGACCCACAGCCCATGTTCTAAAAAGGTGGATGTCAGACAGAAAACAGATGTTCATTCACACCACAGGGGACTCCTTGGGAAGAAAGGAACTCAGGTAGAGCCAGTGATTGAACCATTCAGAGAATAGACAGCTACTGGGGAATTCAAGGAAAGGACTCCATCTCAAAACATGTCTTCTCTAGAAAGAAACGTAGCCAGGATGCCCAATAACCATCTGAGGGTGGAAGGTAGACTCAGAGATTAAACAATGAAGCCCACAGCAGTCATCAGTGTGGCTGCTGAGCCCATGGAGGAAGGGGCCATTTGCCAGGCATAGTGCTAATGACACATATGAGTCTTCATCTTGAAATTAGTATCAAACATTCACTAACTGGTCAATGCCTCTTCCTGGATATCACATTTTTGTCAAGGGAAGAAACAGGAATAACCAAAGTACCCTTATATTCTACACAATACAGTTAAACTGGAGGCTTGACCAGGAGAATATCTAGCTCCAAATTTTTGCTTTATGGCTCAAATCACTGAGCCAGACACATAGAAATCCAATTGTCAAACAAGGACACCCCAGACAATAAGTAATCCCTCATGGTTTCCTCTAACACCACCACTGGACCATATCATAGACTAAAGCGGGGAAGCAAAGAGCTATAAAAGGGACAAAGGAACTCCTTCAAAAGTGCATTAGAAGTTAGTCAAAGAAAGACAACTTATGTCCACAGATGTATGTCTGTGACATTTACATACTTCCTTCTATGAATGCAGTAGAAGAATAATCATTTTACAATGCTAACATTAAGAGACAGGCGAAGAGCCCATTTCAGGTTATAATACCTACAGGGATATGCGGGAAGATGTGAACTGTTGCCACAGCTAATGGCTATAACACATGAGATAAACTCATATTCTGCAAACATTTCATCCTGACAAGTCAGTCATCAAGTCAGGAACAAGGAAGAAGGTAGTTCCTGGAGAAAAGGTAGATATGCCACACCTACCTCCAAAACAACTAAAAAACAAAAAACAGCCACTACTCAAAAATTCCTCCGGGTCCTAAATCCTTAAGTCATCACAGACCAAACAGAAACCAAAGCTACAAATGACAGAATTTCACAAACATTTCTTTCCAGCTGCAGAGACTAATTTGAAGAGGGGAAAAAAGTTTCTGTCTCAAAATGACATTTTAAAGATAATGTATAAGTTGCTTCCTCTCTTTCCCCTTCTTCCCATTCTCCATTCGCTAATGAAAGAGTTTCCCTCTTCCCCTGCCTGCTTCAGTTGGAAACGTGGCACAGAACAGGACACTGGACGGAGAAGGGAAAGGGGAGGAGGGAGGCTACTTTCAAATCTGACACATACACACACCCCGACCGGTGCCCACACCCTGAAGGACTGTCAGGACCAGACTCCACCTAAGAAAGGACCAAACTGTTGAGCAGAAAACTCCCCCTGGCGCCACCTCTCCCAAAAGCAGAGTTAAGAAAGAAAAAGCTGGAAAGGAAGGAGGGGGAAAATAAAGTTCCACATTCCTGAGATTTTTTAGCCAAGTGCTGTGGCTGCACAGCCCAGCTCTATTCCAAACAGCCCTGAAGACAGGGAGAAATCCTGAATTCAGGGGAAGGAACCTGCCCCCTGCCTTGGAAGTAGGATAACCCAAAACTAAACACAAAGGGTGGGGCAGGGGGAGAGGTGCTAGGGAGGCCAGACAGCCTTTCATGTGTGTTCCCAAAGGAAGTGATCCCAAGGGAAGGAATTTAGAGTCAACATCTCCCTAAATATAAGGAGCTGAAACCCTGAGGTTCTTGAGAGGGAAATGAAGGGCCATGAATACTACAGGGATGACTAGCAAGGCACAGCTGAGATGGACACACAGGGTTGTGGCTGCCCAGGGTGTGGGATGGTGGGCAACATGAGGCCCACCTTATAAACCAAGACTGGGCAGGGGACCCCAGAGGGAGAGTTGTCAAGAGAGTTGCTCTCTGTGGGAAGAATAATGATTGAGTTTTCCTGGCCCAGCTTTGAAATGAAGGAATCCTAGCCTGGCACAAGACGGGAACTCAAGAGCCTAATGGCCTCTCCCCCTTTCTCCCCACGCCCCCGCACCTCCCTCTGTACTCATTTCAATGAAGAACTATGTTGACTTCTGGACTGTATTCCCTCCCCATCATATGCATCCCCACATACACTCACATCAGGAGAGAACCTAGAAGACCTTTAAATATCCAGTCAGTCCTGTGCTAAGTTTTGAGGCACCTCCCCATTTCATCCCCTCCCTCTCACTCATTTTACCCCAAGTATGAAGATGCCCATATTGGTTTCTTTTGGACCCTAGATGTTTCTGTTCTCATTTGTAGAGGCAGCAGAGTTCCAAGCCCACCCCCCTACCAAAAAAAAAAAAAAAACTCTGTACAGAGTTAGCTGGTGGAATAGACAGGACCTACTATGTGTCCAGCACAGAAGGCAAGTCTTTCACACTTGATATTCAGAGCAAAGCCCTCTTTCTCACAGTCCAGCAGTAACTGACAATCTCACAGAGCACTTCTGAGAGGAGAAACCTGCCCTGTAAGTTTGGTAGGTCTAAGGTGCCATGGGAAGAGAAGTGGGGATAGTGGAAAGAGGGGGCCTATAGGCATTTCAACCAGGCCCTTTCCATACTCCCCAGTCCATTCCTAAGGAGGAGAGAGTAGTTTTATTTGTTTTTCTCCATGGACTTTTTTCTTTTATCAAGTTCCAGGAAGAAGAGTTCCTAGCACCTTTTGACTTCCAAAGATTGTCAGGTTTAGTGCACAGGACTTTCTATAAGACTAGACACAAGGACAGAAGGAGGTTTGGAGCTCACACACTATATAGCTCTTTTTACACAAAGATAAAGCAGGCAGAGCCAGAAACCTTAACAAATCCAGAAACACAGCAGAGAGCCACAGGCTATGCAAGAGATGTGTCTGCTTCAGAGGGTGTGGCTATGAGGTTTATAGATGACACGTGTGTCTTTCTAGCCAGACGCTCCAAGACTGGGTCCTCCTCTCCCAGGAGGCTTCCTGGAATGCAGGGCAGCAAACAGACACAGTGGCATCAACAAATACAAATCTTCTGTTATTTCATTAAGTTATCATTATGATAAATAATAAAAGTGCTCCAAGAGCAAGAAATTGATTCTCACATTAGTAGGAAACATTAAGGCTTCTATTGCTAACATCTCAGTTAAACCTACAACCACCCTGTGAGGAAGACAAGGTATTACCAACTTCTTCAACAATGGGAAAACTGAGGCTGCAGTCAGTTTTTCAGTCAGACTAGAGACAGCAAAGAGTGGGGCAGAGCACCATTCAATACATCACAGGAGGGCTGTGGAAAGGAGCTCTATGGAAAGGAGTAGAGACCCCTATTCCAGACTCAGACTCATTTTCTACAGACCCTGAAGCCCAGCCAAGGTCACATGCACACATCCAAACCTGACCTGGCCACCACAGAATGCCCCCAGTTTGAGGGCAGACCCACCAACCAAATAGGACCCTTGTCATCCATAGAAAGAAGACAGGGGACCCAGAGACAGAGGCACACAGAAGGAGGAATCAGCCTAGGAATCCTCCATCTCCAAGGCAGCTTTTAAATGGTTACAGCTTCCAACACATCCCCCAGAATGCAGATAAGCAACCCTACCCAGAAGGGAGGACAAGGAGCCTACTCACAGGAACCAGAGGCGACCATGGTAGCCGTGAGGGGAGTGCCACTTACATATCTCATGCCTGAGACAAGATAGACCACAGCGAATCCATACCCAGTTTCCTCCAGTTCTACCCACTTTTGAATATCACATTTCTCTCTTTCTGTACAAGGAAGGAGTCTTTCCCATCAGCCCCCTTGGATTCTGACCCCTTGTTGGCTTACTAAACTCCCTGTTCTGAGGCCTACACCAGTGCACTGCTGACCTTATAGGATCCCATCTTCTGCTCCCATTCTCTGCCCCCAGTTTCAGCAGCCACAAGAAAATCACCTTTCCCCTAGAAGTAGAGGGTATCCCTGTCCCTCTCCTTGGCCCTATAAAAGGGGTGAAGCTCTTGAGTCCATCACACATGGATCTAAAGGGACAGTCCATAGAGTTCAAAGGGTACCTCAAAACTCGCCATTTATGCCATAATTAAAAATAATAAGCAGAAGGCCACTGCTGGGATAGAGCCAGGGCTACACGTGAACACCTGGAGCACATTCCAGAGGTAAAGATGCAAAACACCCAGAAAATTAGAAGGGAGGTGAAAAGGGTCAGGGTTCCTCCCACGTAAGAGCCCAGGAAAGCTAGTGACCCCCATTTGGGACAAGACGGGTTGTGCAATGACTGCGGGTCTGGGAGTCTCCCGGCTTGACTCCCGGATGCCAAAAAGGAAACCCCACGCGTCGGGCCAGGGTGGCAGCGCTGCGGTTGGTTGAAGTCCAGACTTGGCTTCAGGGCTGCATAGAGGGTTGCAAGGATATGGTGGGTACCCAAGGGGGCGACAGAGTATGGCACCACTGGCACGGCGCGAAGCTGGAGGTACTGTCTGGGTTGACTGGGGTACAGGCCAACGGGGGTCCAAGGCACAAAGCCGGGGTGCAGATAACGTGCAAGACAGCCCAGAGTTTAAGCTCAGATGAGGACCAGGGGACTTGCAGGAGTACTCCCGTGGCGCAAGACAGAAGGAACTGCCTGCTCCTCCAGTACCCCCTCCTCAGTCTCTCACCTCGAACATAAGCCCGATGAGGACGCAGAGCACCAAGCAGAAGCCGATGTCCGCATGGTTGTGGATGACGAACTCTTGACTGAAGAGAGGGTAACTTTTCGTCCTCCTGCGGAAAGCCATGGCAGCGGGCGCGCAGCGGCCGGCGGGGCCCGCACCCTCGCTCACCAGCCGCAGTGCAAACTTCTCCAGCCACGGCCCGGTCCGCCCGCCGGCCCGCCGACCGCTCGCCTAGCCGCCCGCCCGCCCTGCGCGGAACAACTTCTGGGCCCCGCCCCCTTCCTCTGCCCGCTCCCGCCCCCGCCGCCCGGAACCGCCCCCGGCCGCAGCCCCCTCCCCACCCGCGGCCCGCACTCCGCGAGCAGGGCCCGCCCGGCCCCGGCCCCGCCCCCTGCGCGCTTAACCCTGCAGCCGCCGGCGCCGCGCGGGAGGCTGCGGCCGCAGTGTCCGCGGCTGGGAACTGCCAGAGCAGCTCAGAAACCCCTCGGCCGGCGCCCACGCCGCGCCCGGTCCCATGCCCCGAGCCGGGGCTCACCACCTCCCGCGCGCAGGGCGCAGGCCGCGGAGGAGGCGGGCGCCCAGGCCTGCCCGGACAGGAAGTGGGCCCGGGTCGCGCCCCGCTCCTTCCTCCGCGAGAAGGGAAGGGAAGGGCCGGGAAGCTTCGGGCGCGGCGTAGTGGGCCGCGCAGCCAGATATTCCCGGGGTGGCGAGCCGGGGCTGAGAGCGGCGCAGGTTCGGAAGAGGCAGGGAAGCTTCGGGAGGGCCTTCTCGCTGGCCACAGCGCCCTACTCGGGCGATAAATGAATGGACGGCGGATCTAGTATTTGAGAGCTTGCAGTGGGCTAGGCAAGGTTCTGGGTGCTGCGAATGGGCGGCAAACAAAAGGCCCTGCCCTAGGGGGCTTACGTTCCAGTGGGGGGGAGTGGAAGGATGGGTGTGCTTTCGCCCTCTAACTTTTTGAGACCTGCGTGCTACCAAAAGTAAGTTTTACGCGTCTCACCCAAAGTCTTTCTTCGTATTAATTGATCTGAAGAAGTGGAAGAATAAACATAAGAAGAAGAAAAAGGAACTTTCTTAATGAAAGTTTCTATCTAATATTGCATTTAAAATTCTCCAGGAAGGACAAAAGGTCTTTTTAATAAATTATATAGGCAAATATTGAATTTAATTCTACCAGTAATGAAGGAGTCAACTAATCACTTTCTAGATTTACAGAAATATAAAATGAGCAAAGAACTATTTGGTTTCTATTTTTTTTTTTTTATTAGGCCCACTGTTATTTCATTCTAAGTAAACATGATTTCTTAAAAATGGCACAGTGTCTGAAATGTGACTGAGACTGGATGGAGTTCCTAGAGAAATTTTACTTCCTAAGTCTGCACTATTTAGCATACAGTCTTGGATCTTAAATTCTCCTATTTGGAGAAAGGAAAGGAAAAAAGTGCAGTATTGCCTCTATTGAGTTAAACCCCACTTAACTTCAAGACTGACATTTCTTAAAGTTGGTCCTTAGCCTTGTGAGGAACAGAAAGTCCAAGAACTCTGGAGCACCTTGATTTTCTAACGAAGGCATGGTTAAAAATTTCCAACCTGCAGCCAGGCCAATTAGGCTGAACATATGAAGTGGTTTAACATGGGTACCCCCGTGTTTCCCATGACTGTTTGTAGATGATGTTGTGGTGAGAATTTCCTGCATAACATAGGATGTTGTCAATGAGTTCACATTTAGAGTTTAGGCTGAAAGTCTTGGGAAATAAATCAGGTATTATAATCTCGTCATCTATAAATGATAAACCTGGAGTAAAGGGATGACTTAGTGTTCATATTGCCAACTGCAAGTCCTTCCCCTTGAAGTATAATTGAACAATTAGGCATAGGGTTGTTAGATGCACGGTTTGATGGTTCATCCTTTGAAACTCACAGAGGAAGTACTGCATGTCTACTTCAGCCATTGTAACCATCTCTAAAGGCCAAGTTTTCAAAGGCATCTTGAACCAAGTGATGGGTCTACTATTTGCCAGGACCTTCAGCCTAAATTTTTAATGTTAAGAAATTGATTAACATCTTTGCAGGAAATGTCCAACCCCTGTCATTCAATCAGTCATGGAATCCAATGAATACTTACCTCAGAATCTCTCTCATCAACCCCCACTTCTACCATTCCACACATGGCCCACACTAGTTACCCCTGAATCTCTCCCTTTAACATCCATTCTATTAGAAAAGTCTAAAGAGCACCTACTATCTGCCAGACACTGTGCTAGTTACTGGAAACAGAAAGATATGACAATCTCTGTGTGGTTTTAAAATATGTCCTCAAATTCTTTGTTAATTCTTCCTTCAAAAGTCTTCCATTGAGTTAGGGTGGACATAATGACTCACTTCTAACAAACAGAGCATAAGTGATGGTGTGTGACTTCCAAGATTAGGTTATAAAAGGCATTTCACATCGGTCTGTCTGTCTTAACTCACACTGAGGGAAGCCAGCTGCCTTATTGTGAGAATACTCAAAGTCCTATGGAGAAGTCCAAATGGCAAGAGCTGAAGCCTCCTGCCAGCAACTGGGTATGTAAGTGAGCCATTTTGAAAGCAGATTCTCCAGCCTTCAAATGACTGCAGCCCCTACTCATCTCTTGACCACAAACTCATAGACACACTAAGCTAGAACCAGCCAGTACAAAGCCACACCCAAATTTTTGACCCACAGCAACTGTGAGATAATAAATATTTGCTGTTTTAAGCCACTAGATTTTAAAATCTGTTATGTAGGAAGAAGTAACTAATATGCACTGCTGGAGCTTAACGACATTTTAGAAGTGACAAAGACATCATTACAGTGCAGTGAAGTGGTGACTCTTAAGAACAGTTTGAAATATGTACACTATGAGTACGAAGCAAGGGTAACAATTCTGATGTAAAGGGAAGACGACATCTGGGCTGAACCTTTATCTGACAGAGATTTTTAGTGATACAGAATGCAGGAAAGGGTGGGGGATGAGTTTGGAGAGTTCAAATGGAGGATTGTTACAGGTTTTGAATACCATGATAAGAATTGTGACTTTATTCTGCAAACAGTGGGAAGGAATGTTTCAAAGCATGACCAGATCTGGCTTTGAAGGAGAACTATCAGGAATATGGAATATCATTCTGATTTTAACAGAATGATGTCAGGAAGACCACTTGGGAAATTATTGCAATCCAGTTAAACAAAAAAATGAACACTTCTCAAAGAGTAGTAGTGATAAGAATAAAAGTGAATTATTTCACAGATATTTAGGGGGATTACCTAATTGGACTTAGACTCTGTGACTGCTTAAATATAAGATATAAGGGAGTTGAGTGAGATAAAACTTTAGATATAAATCATAGTTGAACCATTAAATGTAACAGCAGATAAAGAACAGACTTAAAAAAAAATAAAAAATTTAAAAAAAAGAACAGACTTAAGAAAAGAAGATGGTCTCATCTTTGAATGAGCTGGGGTTGGGGAGTCACAGGGCATCTGAACACACACTCGGACAGTTCAATTGGAAACTGCTAGATTGGATTTGGGGAGGGAAAAGGTTTTGTGGATCCTCTTCAATGGGACTCTTGAAGCCATAATATTACACAAGTGTTTCCTCCCTGAGAGTGAGAAAAACTCTGAGGTCAACAAATTCCCAAAGAGCCCAACACTCAGAAGGGAGAGGAGGCGAAAAAAAGGAAGAAGGTGGGGTGGAAGACATGACACAAGAATTTCACAAAGACAGGTTAAGTCAGATAGGATGAGAATAAGATGAAACTCCTAAATCCTTGAGAAACCACTTTTAACTGACCATTGGAATGGGCTTACTGATAGGTAGATGGCAAAGAGGTAGGAAAGTAGTCTAAGTTTTAAAAGAAGTTAGGTAAGAAAAGAGGAAATTGATTGCATTTTGAAGAATGTGGAAAACCTCAGGAAGGAGTTTTGAATTATATTTAATTTTGGGGATTGGAGCATGTTTGGAGTTAGAGAAGAAAAACCCACGAGAGAGAGAACTATTGAAGATACTAGGAATATGAGAGATTATTGATAAGACCAAAGAGGAAGCTGGAGGGGTGCTTCACAACAGGAACAAGAAGGAACACTCTTGAGATGGGGGCAGGGACCTGAGAATGGGTGGATATATAGTTACCTCTGGGGGTGGAACAAATAATAACCCTCACATTTATATTGCACTTTACAGTTGCTTTGTGAGGGAAGCAAGACAGTCATTACCAACCTCTTCTGTATCTGTTCTGGGACACATGAATGACCAGGGGCCACATAATTAGTGGGTAGCTGACACAGGACTCAGGCCAGCAGGTCAGGCTGTCAGCACATGGTCCTCTGTACTGGACCATACTGCAGCCTGCAAGTCTTCCTAAGTCATGGCACTGTCAGATGAGCTCCAGGAGCACCTCCACCAATCCAGCCACAACTGCAAATTCGTCTGCATCAACTCTTGATCTGAATTGGAGTGGCCCCTCTTTCCCAAACAGACCTGGTGGTTTCCAATTTCTTTGTCTTTGTTCCCCTCACTACATCCCTTTGCCTAAAATTTAAGCATTTTTCAAGATAAAGAGTGTGTACTTCTTCCTTTACTAAGTCTCAAAGCTCTAGTCTAGAGGCATCCACAGAGTACCTATGAATACCTCTCAGGAGATACCAGGTTCTTCTGCTGTCAGTGTTCTTGTCTCTGACTTTTAGTCCCTACTGGAGAGTGTGAACTTCAAGGCAGTAATCCTCCTATAGAATACTGTGCTGTTCTTACAGTACCAAGCACAAGAATCCCCCATTTTGTGTTATTACCAAGTGTTGGTTGAATTGCATGCTCAAATGAGAGATGCTGTTGCTATGGGTTTTATAAATATTGACCACCATCTCTATCATTATCTACATGGAGTACAGCATGCTCTTGTGTTGATAAATCCTTTCCATCAATTGTCCCCAAAAGAGGAAAGAGGTTCCCCCAAAAGAGGGAAAATGTACTTTCTCACATAAAAACAAGTCAGCAGTTAGTTCATTCCCAGGGAGAAGTAATGTACCAAAGGCCAGAGTTTCACTGTCCTTCCCCTTTGGAACATTATGTTTGTTTTTGTCTCAGGCTTGTCCTGCATGGCTACAGAATGGCTGCAACAACTCCAGGTATTCTGTCTTTCAACAAAGAATATCCCAAACAATAAGACCTCAACTTCAGATGAGAAGGGGAGGAGCACTTTAAGAAGTGAGAAAACTTCCCCAGAAATTCCTGAGACCTCATTGACTAAA